TTCTTCTCTGCAGCTGAACGTGTTAGCAGATCCTTTTCTGACCTCATCAACCAAGTGACTTCACCAGCTTGTAAATGATGGAAACTACCATTTGCCCTTACAGCTTCACTGAACTATTGAAGGTAATTGATGTCATGTCAGACTCTTAAAAGTGTCTCAGATGTTTCAGTGTAATAACCCAGCATAACAGACTTCTGCATTTACAGACTGCACCGGGAACCATAAATGGTGTTAAAGACTGACATTCCTATCACTATTGGTGACTTACAGCTCCTGCAGTAAATGTTAGCCCAGCTGATAAAAATCAGCATGTCTTCATTAATGTTACACTGGCTTTAACAACTGTCCTGCTGTCCTGGGTTCAGCTGTACCAGTAATTTTCCTCCTTCTTAGTAGCTGCTGCAGTGCTGTGTTTTTGACTTTCAGCCTGGGAACAATGCTGATAACACCTGGGTTTTTAGCTGTTGCTAAGTAATGTTTACTCTGACCAAGGACTTTCTCAGTCTCATGCTCTGCCAGGGAGGAGGGGAAGCCAGGAGGAAGCAGAGACAGGACACCTGACCCAAACTGGCCAAAGGGGTGTTCCATACCACAGAGTGTCATGCCCAGTACATAAACTAGGGGAGTCACCCGGAAGGCCCAGATCGCTGCTCGGGTCAGGCTGGGTATCTATCGGTCAGTGGGTGGTGAGCGGTTGAGTCCTCTCCCCGTGTTATTTCCCTTATCATTACTATTATTGGTGGTAGCAGTAGTGGTTTGTATTATACCTTAGTTACTGGACTGCTCTTATCTCAACCTGTGGGAGTTACATTCTTCTGATTCTCCTCCCCATCCCTCCAGGAGCGGGGGGAGGAAAAAGAGGGGGAGTGAGTGAGCGGCTGCGTGGTTCTGAGTTACCGGCTGGGCTTAAACCACACCACCTGCCTTGTCCTCTGTTCTTACTACTGTATAATTGGTAATGGCTTGTCTTTCAGGAGCATTTTTTTTAAATATATATGAGTTTGCTTCAGTCAACTGGTTTCAGTGATGTATTTTCTGTCACATCATTGTTTCTTAGACTAAAGGAAGGAATGAGTTCTTGATTGTCAGACTTCCCAATACTTGATTATTTACATAATCATATTTTTCCAAACTACTGAATTAAATGAAAATATACTTTGAACACTTAAAGGAATATTTGATTGGTTTAGAAGAGCCTTTCCATTACTGATCAACTTAACATATTTGGGATAACACTGGTATAGAATGCTTAATTTTCCACATTGATTTTCATGGTCTTGTATTTTTCAGAACTAATTATAATCACCAAGATAAAGGGACTGACTCATTAAAATGGCTAGAAACCTTGTTTTCTGTTGGTAGCACCTCAGCCACCTTCTTGAAAGACCTTATACTGTGGTAGTGATAGTAATGAATATTGCTGGTTCTTTCTGCTAGTTTTGTTCACAGGAGGCCTTAATTACACCTACTCCAAACACCCAAATACCCAAGAATTACAGCAACAAATAATGGTATGCAACTGGAAGCTGACAAGCAGCTTGTCTCTAGCAAAGGAAGGGTGAAGCAGGTGAAAAATAAAGAAACTAATTGAGGCGGAGGACCCCACAAAACAAATAATGATGAGGTCACTAGAAAGTGGATGCACTCACATAAACAGAATATAGTGTGAGATAGAAGCTTAGTAGCAATATACCAGTGCCAAGAGATTCAAACAACAATCCAAGGAACTTAACTGTTGATTATGGGAAAATATCCATCAGCTTCTGTTGAGACTTTAAGTCTTCTTGACGTGTGAGTGCATGTGAATCAAAATCGGTTGGAAGGAGTGACAGCCAACAAATACTGGTTTGGTCTGATACAAGACAGAACAGGTCTGGAGCACAAATTCTTACAAATAGATATTCCTGAACCACCATGAACTGTTACTTCATGGCAGCACATAAAGACTCAAGGAAGTGTTTTTCCATGCTAATAAGCAGCTGTTTAGCTACCAGGTCCCTATAAGGTGAAAGGGACAAAATCACAACACCTTCATGCTGTTATTACTCAGTTCAGCTGGCAACAGAGCAACTTTGGACATGTTCATTCTTCTGACACACTCAGCCTGAGAAAAAATAAGCCAGGAACAGCATCTGCAAAAGCAGTCCTAGCTCACCCCAAGATCTTCTATGAAGCTTAAAGGGAAGAGTGGTAGGAGGTGATACCCTGTCTTTAAACACAGGGATGTTTTGAATTATTCCTGTACAGCGAACCTGCTTGCATCTCACACTCACAGCACTTCTTTTTTTTCTTAACACAGCCACCCTAGAAGTTCTCAATTTATAGTGGGTAGATCAGTAGCAAACATCAGCATCTTCTGATTGTGTTTTAGTGCCAAATTGCTGAGACCTGGATAAAAGCAAGCAAGACCTAAATTATAAAATAGAATTATGCTCTGAGACCATCAGAGAGAAGAAATTCCCTGAGGTAGGCATTCCTTTAGGAACTTTATCACTTACAGGTTTACATGTCATTAGTTGCATACCTTTTTTATTTCAGCACAATTAATAACACAGATTGTCTCCTTTATGTCAGCAATTTCCAAATGTTCAACGGAGAACCTATGTGTGACCTATGCTAGAGATTGACCTGTTTTCTGTCTTTTCCAATTCTTTCCTGCCCATTTCCCCAAAGGATGCTACATCCTGTTAATTAAGAAGCCTGCTGAAGCAGATAAGTATTGCAATTTGTTTAAACTGAACATCAGTTTGGCTCATAGTGGTATTTCACTATTTCTGTGGCTATCTGAAGGGAAGAAGAAAGCTGACAGCAGCCCTTTCCTAGGGGAACCTGTTGTTGTAAGTAGGAAGTGGAAGCACTAGCTTCTTCCAAAGTGGAAGAGCATCTAAGATAAACAGTACCCATTCAGATAATCTGTCTGATTTACTTTTTCTAGAGCTTGAGAGCACATGGGAACAGGTAACATCTGGTCTACTACAGTACCAATCCTACTTGGCTGAGGCATCCAGCCCTTAAGATCCTTGTCAGTTGCTGGTCTTAATAGCTGTACAGACTGTGGCTGAAGACTGTGTCTGTTATGTTAATACAAAGTTGTGCACAATGGGGCATTTAGATATATTTATGTAATTTAGATAATTAACAACTAGTATAGGAGTGATCTGTTGTAACACTGCGCTTACCTCCCTCTTTGCTCTGGTAGCAGAGCACTCTTGCAGGTGGTAGCTGCAAGCAGAAGTGGCTGGGGGGATGTTGCAGAGTGTACTAAACTCTGTGTTCCTATGTTCATACTGCTTTAGTGTTCCCTCCTTTCTTGAACATTTAAATGGTTTGTTGCATGGTTAACTTTAAGCACAAATTCTGTGCCATTGAAGATGATAGCCCTCTTACAGGTTTTTTGCTGCTTCCATAAGATCAAGATTTCGCCCAATGGAACTGTTTAAGCTTTATTTTATTCAAGCCCAGTAACTGTTTTAGGATTTCGTTTACACATTTTGCTACTTGAACCTATTTCTGCAAGTTGGTGAACATCCAGCAAATCACTTTTATTTTGGGCATTTTGAAAAACAAAGAAAAACCAAAACCAAAAGCCGAATAAAACCCAAACACAAAACTAAGCACACCAAATATTGCCACATATTCAAGGAAAGCAACTTTGAATTAACATCTAAATGTAGTTTCCCTGGAAAGTTTAATTTTGTAGTTGCATTCAGCCAGCCAGGCTATGGAAATATTTCATTATCAAAGCATCAAATGTTACCTGCCAAAGCTATGTTGCATTAGTATCAGATTGCCCATTAGAGTTCTCAGTAACAGTCACAGAGGAAACTGCTTTGTCTGCAAACAACTTGCAAACCAAAAAAGATGCAAATTCAAGTTATGCATGAGAATTCTTTTGATTAAACACTTTAAGTGATGGTTTTAGTAACTAAAAATTTAGGGACAATACTGTAAAAAAAAAGAGCATATTAAAGCACCTAGAGAAGGTGCTGGTAAAACCTGTTAACCCTTTCACTGGAAAACCAAAACCATCTTTTTAAAGTGTTTTTAATATAAAAATATGTACTCCTTTTCTTTATTAGGATGATGTCTTTCAGCAGTGGTTGCTTTGTACAAGAGTACAGCAATGCATACAATAAAACATCACCACCTTGACTCTAATCCTGTCTTGGAACCAGTGGAGGGTTTTGGCACCTTCCTGCTCTGGTTGTCTATATTTTATTGAAGGATCAGTTATTTCCCGTTTTGGCACCCAAAAGACGATAGTTTGGATAGGTCACATGCATTACAAACAGCCTGATATACACACAGATTAAAGTAGGCAACTGCTTATAAATCATGCAGTTTATTAACGAGTCTGAATTCATAAGCAATTAAAAAACCCCACAAGCCCAGAGATTCAGTGCTCATCATTACAGGCCTTCTTCCACCATCTAAATTGACATGAATGAGGATTAAAATGCAAAATAAATAAATAAATAGAAGTAGCTTCAAAATATATACAAATCAAGATCTTGGACTAAATGTGTCATTTCTTCTTTTTCCCTAGCTCTTCAGTGATTCTTCCAAGTAACATAGATCTGCTCTTATGCATGTGGATGCTTATTAAATCTTCAATCGAGTCTTTCTTCTTCAGAACTGGCGACCTCTGAATATGAGGAAATATCCCTGAAAAATTACATGAGAATACACATAAATAATCAGTTTCCAAACAGTAAGACCAGCGCAATACTCAGTTTCCTACATCCATGTTTCCTCTGTCTTTAGCTGCTGGTCCCCATTTTATCAGCATTGCCCCCAAACCTCTTGTTTTGGTGATAGACATATCTCTCCATTTGCAAGTTGCCTTTTAGTAACAAGTTACTTTGATCTTTTCCCCTAGCACAGACCTTTTCCTTCAATGTTCCTTTAAATTCTTCCATTTGTAATTAGCAGAGCCTAAGCACTTGAGCCTGCTTACAGTCTTACTGACGGACTGGCTTGTCATCACACTGTTTAGTAGCACATTTGTTATTTCCTTGAGAAACTATGGGGCAGTTTCCTTGCAATGATCTCCTAAAGCCCACAGTTGGGTTTATTTCTTTTACACACGTTTGTCGTCTTAAAAACCGTTTAACACAGTATCTGTTTATTTACCAGACTTCAAATGCATAATACAGCAGCCTTTGCCCCGCTACCCTCCCTTGCACCTGATCTGAGGTGCTAATCTGAGCCCCATTACCTGCACCTGTGAGGGAGGTGTGCACAGCTGCAGCCACTCTGAGAATCAAGGTAGCAGGGGCACTGCTGGGTGAGGAGAAAAGAAGAAGAAAAAAAGGTAGAGGGTTTTCTGTTCTTTGAGTGTTTGTACAGGAGATGTGCTATGTGGTTTCTTGAAGTGGGTCTTCCTGTACAGCTACTCTTCAGGAAGATTTGCTGTGAGTACAAAAGCTATATTCTTCTTGTGTTTTTTAAGCCTTGTTTTGGCTCATTAAGAGTTCTTACAACCATAATGTATCTCGCTCAAGTGTTGTAATATGTTGAAAATGTTTTTATGAAATGTGCTTTTTTCATAGTGTTCAGGTTTTGTTAGGGGAAATGGATGAGTTACTAAAGATGTCTTGGCAAGGTAACTGTAAAGGACTCTCCCTACTTGTCTCAGTTTAAAGCTAATACTTTTTTGTGGGATATCTGGGAAAGCTGAAATGCTGCTGGTTAAATAAGAGTTTAGTTGGATGGAGGTGGTTTGTCAGATAACTTGTATATGGTTGTTTTGATTTTGTTGTGTTTTTCATGGATTGTGTAGAGTTTGAAGAGTATCTTGAGACCTGTTGGTAACTACAGTCAGGAGCCTGGTATGACTAGATCTGTTCAGAAAAGAGTGTTTGAACCCCAGAGTCTGGACCTGGACTACTTCTATCACTATCTTGGTGTGCACTCAGAATTGCTTCCTAGGAGAGCAAGGTATTTTGTTCAGTACTACTGAGAAACTTTTACCAAGGCTTTCATGAGGCTTTTTGCTTGGAGCACTTTTGGTTGTTGTGTTATTGGTTTTTGGGGGTTTGGGTTTTTTGGTTAGTTGGTTGGTTTACTGATGTTTTTTCTTAGAAATTTTCTTAGAAAAGCTCAGTTCCTGATACTCAGTTTTCACAATGACCTCATGGGATTTACCCTTTAGTTTTGAAATCTGACACTAAAATAGTAGCACCTTAACATCAACACTGCTGTGCCAAGTCCAAATCTCTGTTTTGCTTTTCCAATTCCATGATATGTTTAAGGTGTACAGTGAATGCAGCCTACAGCTTGCTCCTGATTTATGATCCTATTTGCAATTCAAAACCCCAGAAACCCAAACAAAAAAACCCCAAAACTACACAAAAAACTCCAAACAAAAAATCCCCAGCAAATTGAAATGGTAAATAAATATTTAAGAGGAGTAAGATTTAAAACTTTAGTATGGAGCAATAAAGATGTTATCAACAGCTACAAAAGTAATGGTATAAAGCAAAAAAATCTTGCGTTGTTGTTTGACTTCTAGAACAAGCCTACTGAGAGCTATTCATACCCACCCATGCAGACGTGAAGTACACAAGGCCGTTCAAATGCTGTGCTCTTTGGGCTAAGAAAATAGGCTTGTACATATCTTTTATGCACAAGAAACAGTAGCTCTATTCCTCATCACTTCATAGGATGTGATTTGTATCTGCAGTTATTAACAGTTGACTTCTGTTTTCACTGACAGAACAAAGCAGTAAGGTCAAGGGTTACCAAGATTAAACCAGCTGGCTTTGTTAAGAAACTGGGAGATTTGGATAAGAGGTTAGATAGCTCCTCCAAAAAATAAAAACTAGGTAGTCACTGCTATAAGCTGCCTGCTACTCACTGATCTTAATTGATTGTACAGAGAAACCAGATTAACTGATTACAATTTGCAAAGCAAAGAGGTAAAGGAATAGAGAAGGGGAGAAATCCTTCTTTATCTTAAAGTATGAATACCTAGTAGTGCTTAAAATTGTTTAGGAGTAAACAAAAGTCAGTATTCATCACAAACCCCATAATCTGATTCTTCAAAATACCATCAGACTGTTACTCTTAATCTCAAGAGCAAAAAAAAAAAACTGGAGCAAAAGCTCTTTGTTTAGGAAAATCACAATGTGATAGAGACATGAAGAGCCAGGTGTAAACAAAAGGCTAAAAATGAGTTTAATGATATTCCAAGCTGCAATCCTGAAAAAAAAAAAACTCATCTGGTGCTTTAGTCTTGGTGGACATCTTGCTTTTTGATAGTACTACTGTCTCATCTCTAAAGCTGCAAGTTGTTTGCATCCATAATTGTATCAGTCTGGTCAGGAGCAAGCAACTTGTTGCCTTTGTGTTGTCTAAGGCTTTTTGGGAACCAGAAGGGGTTTCTGTGCTGTTTACCATCAAAGTATCTCAACTCAGTCAAGATTGCAAAGCTATGTGATAGCTCAGATTCTTTGCAAAGCAGGATAGGACCCACTCTTTTTCTTTTGAAATGCAGATAGTGGTGGTCTGGCTCAGAGTTTAGAAACTATCTGTGTGTGTGAAGAGCTCTTCAGTCTGAGGAGGCTGATTCAAACACAGTTCTGATCTTCCAGCTTAATGGCTAGGGTGCTCTCTGTAGGTAATGAGGGTGAAGGACCTAGATCTTTTTTATCTCAAATCCTATCTTTCAATACACAAAACATCTTAAGGTCTGTGGCAAGAGCTGGACTGTCCAGTGGTATAGTGTCCCTGGGGTAGAATAATCCTGAGTTAAAGTCCCTATATTTAGAGACACTCTAATGGGTAGCTGCCCAGAGAGGTTCTTCATTCTTCCATGGATATTCCCCTCAGACATCTTGATAACTAAGACACTGATCTAGGAAGTGGAGGTAAGGGTCTGAATCCATTCAAGTGGCATGACAGTTCTGCCTTCTCCCTGTGGGCCCAACGCACTACACTCTTAGTGATGGCAGCAGCACTTTTGCCCCGCCATCACATTACAGCACCTGCCCATTCTGAAAGTGCATTCTCAAGGGAAGGATGCACCTCTTGGTAGCAGAATCAGAACTGAAACCTTGGAAGGGACTGAGATTTAGGAAAAGCTATGCTGCATCTTTCTACTGGGAATGGGGAGGCTAATTGACATGATACCTGTTGCAGATGCTACTGTGAGGTGCCAGCTCTCACCTTGCCAAATATGGAGACGGCTAGTTTAAGCCTGGGGATTCTGCTCTGGGGCTGCTAACCTGGAGGTTAGGAATTGCAGCATTTAGTGTCATAGGTAGTGTTCTTTCTCCTGAAGCTGTAGCTGTGTCTGAAAGCCTGCACGTGTCTGAGTCCTAGGTCTGTCTCCACTGTGTGCTGGGCAAAGTTACTAGTATGGAAATGCCTAGAGGCTGACTACTAGATGGCAAGTAAACAGCTTTGCTCTTCTGCTGAAAGACTGCCACTCCCCCCAGCAGCGCCAGTGCAATGCATTCCTGGGGTGATGCACCCCTTGGAATGAGGGATTCGGAACTAGCTTGTCCATAGCACAATAGTGGTAAAAATATATAAAGAATATATTTGTATGTTCAGTTGCTGAACTGCCTTCTTTGTTTGAATCCTCCTATGTTTCACTTCCTGCTGCCCTTCCTCCCCCATCAAACTGAAACTTAAAAGCTGTCATTAGAGTACAGGTTGTCTGGAGGTCAAATTTTTACTGAGATCACTTTAAACATAAACATAGCTCTGTACTTGATTGAGAGGCTGTGCAGCATGTTCTCTATTTCTGTACTATTACCACATAATGCAATAAGCCTGTATCTCTTTTCTTTCCTGCTAGACTCTAGCTATTGCCCATGAGACATGTATTAAAGGAGTAGTAACCTTGGTTTCTCCCTGTAAATTGAGAACGTAGACTAGCAATCTTTGGTTCAGCTTCTGCTAGCTGCCTTCTCCCTAGGCCATGGGTTCTGGAGAGCACGCAGTCCACGTAGATATCCCAGAAGAGCTGAGCCAGGTCCCAGAACAAAGCCCCATGTTTCAAGTTCTCTGATGATTTCAGGAAGATCATGAAGTCCCAAAAGCCACTGACAGAGTCAGAAATATGAGGTTTTCTCATCTCCAGTAAGACAGCTGAGGAGGATTGCCAACACTGGGGGTCTGCTCGTCCAAGAGCTAGTGGATCAATTTGGCTATGGCAGAGGAAGGGTGTCATGCAGAATGCTCCCATGATTAGCAGAGAGTAGGTGAGTCTCATGTTGCAGTGGATTCTTCTTCTGTTCCCAAGGTCCATTGTACACTGAAATGTAAAAAACCCAGAAAGATGAAAAACTCCTTGCTGTTAGATGTGGGAACAAAGCCCTGGTACCTTACATTATATAGAAGGCACTTCAGATGTTGGTAATTGTTTCTCTGATCTTTAAGGGTCTGTGTATGCTTTTTTTGCATGTAAAAATATAAATACTAGGAGAGTTGCATTACTCTGTGCAGCAGAAGCATGTGTTAAAATTTGTTAATCATCCTCAAATCCATCTGATGAACTCTTTTTATGTGGAACTCTTCATATTGAAACTTTTTGTCCTTGATTTACAGGTCCCTAACCTTTTACAGTAAAAAGAACATTCCTCCTTATAGAGAATTTAAGCCTTTAGGCAGTCTTGCTTTCCTCAAGCCTTTAAGCCCTTTAAAACAGTTAGCAGACTCACAGGGATCTGTACACAGCAGGTGGAAAACTACTTGTTGAAACTGTCTTCTAATGAACTGATGGTAGATTGCAAAGTAATCCATTGAAACAGGAGTGTTTTACTCGCTAAAATGCAGAACTGAAAGGAGGGTATAGCAAAGCCACAGCATAGCAGCAGGTGTGTGTATGTATGTGTATATATATGTGTGTAAAAAAGTACAGATGCCTTTTGTAGATCACTGTAACAAGTGTCTGTTAGGGAAAATTGTGAAATTTGATAAGCAGCAGCTATAGGGGGAGAAATCCTGAAAAAAATAATCTTTTGGAGAAAGGCCCAGCTGTCTCTATCAGATTTCATTTCTAGTACATCTTTCTATTGTGCATTTTCTAACCTGCTTCTAGTATTTCTGATACACATTTCTAATGTGTAACAGATTTGGGGGCAGGTTTTAGTATAGCTCATGGCATGCGGAGAACCTCCCATTTGTGGAAATCCACAACATCAGAGATCAGCTTTTAGGACAAACAATTCTGTTTGTGTGTTGATCTCTGGGGCATTCATGCTTTCATGTGTTTGGTTTGATTGCTGGAGGGTGTTGCTAGGGGAGAAGCTGCCTCTCCTCATGAACCTAAGTTAATAATCAACTGGTTTTTGTGAAGAAAGCCTCTTCTACAGGTGATCATTGAGAGCCCAAGAAATGTTTCTCTGCTCTATGAAGACAAATGTTGAAGGCAGGAGAGGTGTGCAGATTGTATGTGAAAAGTGGCCAAGCCACAGCCAGTGTGCAAGCCCAGGGAGGGGCAAGTTGCTTGTGGAACATATTTCATTGTAGATCTAAAGTACTCTTCAGTGATTTCAGTCTTAGCAGTGATATTCTTAGCTAGCCCCATATCTGGCTACCTGGTCAGGTTCTGGGAACGTTTTGGAGGTATTCAGACTTTACTCTCCAACTCCTTGCAGTCACTTTTTAATCTGAGTTGGCATCTCATAAGGAGAATTGGCTTGACAGCCTTGGATCTGAACCTTGATGTTAGTGAATAGAAGAGGGGTGGCATGCTCTTCACATGCTGCTCTGCTTACTTGGATGTCACCTATGACAGTGGTGGTGGTAGTGATGAGGTTGCCCTCATGCTGCTCCCAGGATCTCTGGAAGCATTGCTCTTCTGTACCATAGTGCACAAGGCAGGTTTTGATTGCTTTCTCTGAAGCAAAATTGAAGACATCCTCTGAGTCAATTCTTCATTCTTATTTGTTTGTTCATTGGAGCCTTTCCACTGTGCAGTGGACACCTGGGCATATGTGCTATGCAATTTGTACATACTTATGTTTACTGAGACTTTTTCAAGGGACATAATTAACTTTGTTTATCAACCTTCTAGTTTTCAAAGCAATTTAGCAATCTCAGATATGACCATGGGGAAGAAAACCCCCCAAACAAAACAGTCACCAACAACAGATAGTTCAAAGGAGAAATACTAAAACTGTCTTTTAAGTGTGTCACTTGGACAGGGGCCATCTATTCTGCACTGGTTACCAACTGAAGAGGTTGCTTCGCTTTTTCTGCCTCTCAACCCCTTTGGGAACTTTCAAAGTTACAAAAATGGGTAAGACAAGGGTAAGGGTTCTAGATTTGTCAGAGGTGTGAGCAAAGGGACTGCCCTGGCCAGGGAGCTGGCAGGGTGTTAATACAATGGTGGGTGCCATATCAGGTGTGGTGTGAATGGCATTGGTCAGGGCCAGTAGCCAAGACCACTAGTCTTTATGGTCTGATCTAACCCTGGCAGCATTTTGCTCTTAGTCTTTTACAAAGTTCAGATTCAATTTTTTAGATGGCTGAGAGCTGAGGGGATGCTCAGGGAGGAATGTCAATTTTCATTGATCTGTTACCTGAGCTTGTGGTGAATGCTTCCAGCAGTTCCCCCACACACACTCATCCCTCCAGTTTTTAGGTCTTTCTGTCCATAAATTGAAGTTCGTGTGTGTGCTATTCAAACTTGGCTCTGACTTTTCTTCGTTCTTTTGTTTTCCCTCTTCTCCTGGCAGTTTACCCCTCCTTTCCACTCACTGTCACGAATAGCTCCTTACAATAGTAATAATCATTAAAAAGTTAATTAGCTCTTTTGTTGTCACCGTTTTACTTGGCTGTGGCTATCGGCTGTGACTAGTCACTCGATCCTAGCCCTCGGGGAAGCCGAGCCC